ACCGCTTTGAGACTCAGATTTTGCAGTGAAAAGGCGGTATATAAATAAAAGATTACTTACTTACTTACTTACAAATGTCACTTTTGGCATGAAGAGAAAAGTGTGCCAGAATTGTTCAAGACAAATCCCTCGACTTGAATAATGGGAGCCCACAAGGCACTTCACTTGGGCCTTTACTGTTTTGTATGAATGAAGCACGGCATTTGACATCTATTGTAGACCTTCTGGTTGGGTTAATATACTGTCAAAGATATAAACACACACCCTTTATGTAAAGCACAGACATTTGAAGGTCCTAAAGAACATAACGTGAGGTTTGACCATAATCCGTTTCTGTATTGAAAGAAAGATGAACGTGTCTCATAATGTATAGTCTAAATATTTGGTGTCGCCCCATCGCTCATATACTAAACATATTCTGTGAAAAACAGTGGACTAAGAGGACAATTGAATGGTTCTTGAATGAATGACTCAAAAACAATACATTATAATTCAGAAGTTTTATTAAAGAGCGGTAAAGTAGAAGTGATGATGCGTCACAACAACAGCTTGTAGTTTGTACAAGGCACAGTGCTCGTACAGAGCAGAGGACAGCAGTCTTTATAAAAGACACAGATCATCCAGGTCCAGAGCAATGTGGACCTCATCAACCAGTTCAGCACAAGAGACATTACAACAGGTCCCACTGACATGAGCTGTCACCAAAATGTGACTCAGTTACATAAAGTCTTCACAATGAAAGGAACAAATACAATATGTGAATAAGTTCACAGTGGATCATGTAGAGCTTTTGCCACAAAAAGACAAAAACATACAGGAGAAGTCTCCCTCTTAAAGGGACATTACACATTTAAAACAATGTGCAACATCATTGATTCTATTGAAATCAACAGAAACATCATTAGATTCATACAACATGTATGACATAGTACCTTTCGAATGAAAGTTCAATTATTCAAGAGGTTTCCACAGGAAATATATGATTGACAGTTCATGACCTCTGCTAACACAGAAGAAACTGTCTCCGATGAAGCACAACTTATCAGTTGAAGAACATCTTGAATTCAAATAAATTCAGTCTCTTCTTATAAACATTTCCACAGGAATTGCAAAATGTTCTTCTCATTTAAACATCAGTCCCAGAGCTTTTCAGATGTAGACAAAGTGGGAGAATCTCAGACCAGTGTGGTCCATAGTGAGTCTGTCAGGGTGCAGACTCTACCAGGGCCTCCAGGGGGCGCCGTTCACTGGACTCTTGTCTTTACAGAAGCTGCTCTGCTTGTGCAGCTCAGTGCAGTGTCTCTGCTGAGGGCTCTTCATGAGGCTCTGGGACAGGAAGTGCTGCTGCTGCAGACGTGTGAGCACAGTGACGGTCATCTCCAGGATGTCTGCTTTCTCCAGCTTGGAGTCTGACTGCTGCTGGAGGAACTCTGTACACAGGAGAGACTTGAGCTGCTCAATGCTGCTGTTGATCCTCTCTCTGCGCAGTTTCTCCACCACAGGCATTTTCAGCTGCAAAAACAAGAGGCACATGAGTTCATTTGTTCTACACACACCACTGCAACAGCAGCAGAGGAACCATCAAAGCGTTAGGAGAAGGATGGAACAGGCTTTACCTTGTGACAGAGGCTGAGGTCCTGAGAGGGGTCCATTGCTGCAGTGGCTGTAGGAGCCATGTGTGGATGTAGAGCTCTGTGTGGAGAGTCTGCTGTGTGCTGCTTCTGCCTTGTATTTATACACACACATCTCCATTTGAATGTGTGGGTCTAGGTCTAGCACTAGTTTCTCACACTCTGGACCAATCAGAGAGCAGCACAGACAATAAGATCTGCAGCATGGCACATGCTCTAAAGCCCTGGGGTCAGCTCTCTAAGGAGCAGCTGGACACACGCCTCCCTCAGCTCATAGTTTACAGACTCAAACAGGACGCCATAAGTATGACATGTACAGTCACTCACTCAAACACAATGTTTCGCATTCTGCGTCTTCATTCGCAGCACAAGTTTGGGCGTTGTGTAAAAATGAAGGAGAGAGAAGTGGGAAATGTCCCATGATTCCCGTGTGTTCAGGTCAGAGGTCTTCATCTATTGTCCCTCTGCGGCTGTGAGTGTGTCTTCTCTGGTTTCCCACACTTTGCTTTTCATTGCTTCAACAAAAGAAGTGTGCTGCATTAGGCAAATCATCTGGTGACCATTTGAAAAAACTCTCATTTTGATGCAAGCTAGCTCTTTGAAACCCACAAAAGTCACAGGACTTCTGTAAAATTCAATTGCTATAAATAACTTGGTTCAGTGGAAACATCTGTGTTGTGTCTTTTTGTTTTATGATATGAATGATTACAGTTAAAGCAATGGTGACGAGCAACCTCATCATGGCCACAAGCAGTGACGTGAACCAGCTCCTGAAAGTGACGTAGAGATTGAAATCTGGTGTCAGATGTGCGTCATGTGACGTGTCTTTAGTGCTGAGTAAAAGTGTCTTGGCGTTTCCCACAATCTTTGTGCTTTGTGTTCGTTGAACCATGAGGATCCTGAGGAACAGATGCTCCAAGTGTCGTCATGGAGACAAACTTTGACGTCTTCAAGGACTTGGAGGGAAAGCTTCTGATTGGTTGGTGTGAAGAAGATGTCATAGTCTGGGATCGCGTCTTAAATTCCGACAGAAGACATGTTTTATTGTCGATGGTAGAGACAGCACGAACAAAGCACACGATCACAGATACAAGAGAATGCAAGTGTATTATACAGAGCGGAGGCATGGACACCTCCAATCAGCAGCTGCCACGGTGTGCTTGTAGCTTGGCCTTCAGATAGACAAAACAAGGGAAAAGTACTGGCTTCTGCACATTGATAGAATGATGAGTTTAACTTTAACAAAAGTTGCTTCAAAGTGTTATGAAATCTCATATTCCCCCCTCTGGTCACATATTCACGTGTGACCATCAGGATCGATAAACAGCAACATAACATCATAACTCAATACTTCAAAAACTCAAACTCGGTACTTCAAAAAACTCAGAACTCGGAATACTTCAAAAACTCATAAAACTCATAAAACATGTTCAGATCTTTCATAAAACTTGTCAACAATCTTCAGTAAAATACCAAACTTCATCAGTCGATGGTGGTTCCAGATATTGCTTTTAAAACAGTCTCTCCCACTTCTCCGTGTTGATTCCTTCAGGCTGCATTTGTGTCGAGCCATGAATTCTTCTGTGACGTGTCTTTCAATCACACGTTTCAGCTTCAGTGTCCAGATTCAGCAATTCAATTCAGTCCAAATTATGTCCAAATTCAGAAATACAGATTGTTCCAAATTATGTCCATGCAAAAGAGGACGATGGTGTTGTCCATGTCTCAGCAGCTCACAGCCTGACTGGAATCAGGGGCTGTGCAGATTGTCCATGTGCTGATCCAGATGCATTCTCTTGAGGTTTCTCAGTTTTGGCTTAAAAAAAAAACACTTTTTGTGTAAAAAAAAAAAAGTCTTCTGTTCTGTAGATGTTACAGACAAGGCCCGCATCCTTCCACCACCTGAAGAAGATGACATAGTCTGGGATCGCGTCTTAAATTCCGACAGAAGACATGTTTTATTGTCGATGGTAGAGACAGCACGAACAAAGCACACGATCACAGATACAAGAGAATGCAAGTGTATTATACAGAGCGGAGGCATGGAGACCTCCAATCAGCAGCTGCCACGGTGTGCTTGTAGCTTGGACTTCAGATAGACAAAACAAGGGAAAAGTACTGGCTTCTGCACATTGATAGAATGATGAGTTTAACTTTAACAAAAGTTGCTTCAAAGTGTTATGAAATCTCATAGGTGTTTTGCTATTTCAATACTGTAGTCACAAATGTCACTTTTGGCATGAAGAGAAAAGTGTGCCAGAATTGTTCAAGACAAATCCCTCGACTTGAATAATGGGAGCCCACAAGGCACTTCACTTGGGCCTTTACTGTTTTGTATGAATGAAGCACGGCATTTGACATCTATTGTAGACCTTCTGGTTGGGTTAATATACTGTCAAAGATATAAACACACACCCTTTATGTAAAGCACAGACATTTGAAGGTCCTAAAGAACATAACGTGAGGTTTGACCATAATCCGTTTCTGTATTGAAAGAAAGATGAACGTGTCTCATAATGTATAGTCTAAATATTTGGTGTCGCCCCATCGCTCATATACTAAACATATTCTGTGAAAAACAGTGGACTAAGAGGACAATTGAATGGTTCTTGAATGAATGACTCAAAAACAATACATTATAATTCAGAAGTTTTATTAAAGAGCGGTAAAGTAGAAGTGATGATGCGTCACAACAACAGCTTGTAGTTTGTACAAGGCACAGTGCTCGTACAGAGCAGAGGACAGCAGTCTTTATAAAAGACACAGATCATCCAGGTCCAGAGCAATGTGGACCTCATCAACCAGTTCAGCACAAGAGACATTACAACAGGTCCCACTGACATGAGCTGTCACCAAAATGTGACTCAGTTACATAAAGTCTTCACAATGAAAGGAACAAATACAATATGTGAATAAGTTCACAGTGGATCATGTAGAGCTTTTGCCACAAAAAGACAAAAACATACAGGAGAAGTCTCCCTCTTAAAGGGACATTACACATTTAAAACAATGTGCAACATCATTGATTCTATTGAAATCAAATGAAACATCATTAGATTCATACAACATGTATGACATAGTACCTTTCGAATGAAAGTTCAATTATTCAAGAGGTTTCCACAGGAAATATATGATTGACAGTTCATGACCTCTGCTAACACAGAAGAAACTGTCTCCGATGAAGCACAACTTATCAGTTGAAGAACATCTTGAATTCAAATAAATTCAGTCTCTTCTTATAAACATTTCCACAGGAATTGCAAAATGTTCTTCTCATTTAAACATCAGTCCCAGAGCTTTTCAGATGTAGACAAAGTGGGAGAATCTCAGACCAGTGTGGTCCATAGTGAGTCTGTCAGGGTGCAGACTCTACCAGGGCCTCCAGGGGGCGCCGTTCACTGGACTCTTGTCTTTACAGAAGCTGCTCTGCTTGTGCAGCTCAGTGCAGTGTCTCTGCTGAGGGCTCTTCATGAGGCTCTGGGACAGGAAGTGCTGCTGCTGCAGACGTGTGAGCACAGTGACGGTCATCTCCAGGATGTCTGCTTTCTCCAGCTTGGAGTCTGACTGCTGCTGGAGGAACTCTGTACACAGGAGAGACTTGAGCTTCTCAATGCTGCTGTTGATCCTCTCTCTGCGCAGTTTCTCCACCACAGGATTCTCAGCTGCAAAAACAAGAGGCACATGAGTTCATTTGTTCTACACACACCACTGCAACAGCAGCAGAGGAACCATCAAAGCGTCAGGAGAAGGATGGAACAGGCTTTACCTTGTGACAGAGGCTGAGGTCCTGAGAGGGGTCCATTGCTGCAGTGGCTGTAGGAGCCATGTGTGGATGTAGAGCTCTGTGTGGAGAGTCTGCCGTGTGCTGCTTCTGCCTTGTATTTATACACACACATCTCCATTTGAATGTGTGGGTCTAGGTCTAGCACTAGTTTCTCACACTCTGGACCAATCAGAGAGCAGCACAGACAATAAGAGCTGCAGTATGGCACATGCTCTAAAGCCCTGGGGTCAGCTCTCTAAGGAGCAGCTGGACACACGCCTCCCTCAGTTCATAGTTTACAGACTCAAACAGGACGCCATAAGTATGACATATACAGTCACTCACTCGAACACAATGTTTCGCATTCTGCTTCTTCATTCGCAGCACAAGTTTGGGCGTTGTGTAAAAATGAAGGAGAGAGAAGTGGGAAATGTCCCATGATTCCCGTGTGTTCAGGTCAGAGGTCTTCATCTATTGTCCCTCTGCGGCTGTGAGTGTGTCTTCTCTGGTTTCCCACACTTTGCTTTTCATTGCTTCAACAAAAGAAGTGTGCTGCATTAGGCAAATCATCTGGTGACCATTTGAAAAAACTCTCATTTTGATGCAAGCTAGCTCTTTGAAACCCACAAAAGTCACAGGACTTCTGTAAAATTCAATTGCTATAAATAACTTGGTTCAGTGGAAACATCTGCGTTGTGTCTTTTTTTTTTATGATATGAATGATTACAGTTAAAGCAATGGTGACGAGCAACCTCATCATGGCCTCAAGCAGTGACGTGAACCAGCTCCTGAAAGTGACGTAGAGATTGAAATCTGGTGCCAGATGTGCGTCATGTGACGTGTCTTTAGTGCTGAGTAAAAGTGTCTTGGCGTTTCCCACAATCTTTGTGCTTTGTGTTCGTTGAACCATGAGGATCCTGAGGAACAGATGCTCCAAGTGTCGTCATGGAGACACACTTTGACGTCTTCAAGGACTTGGAGGGAAAGCTTCTGATTGGTTGGTGTTTTGCTATTTCAATACTGTAGTCACAAATGTCACTTTTGGCATGAAGAGAAAAGTGTGCCAGAATTGTTCAAGACAAATCCCTCGACTTGAATAATGGGAGCCCACAAGGCACTTCACTTGGGCCTTTACTGTTTTGTATGAATGAAGCACGGCATTTGACATCGATTGTAGACCTTCTGGTTGGGTTAATATACTGTCAAAGATATAAACACACACCCTTTATGTAAAGCACAGACATTTGAAGGTCCTAAAGAACATAACGTGAGGTTTGACCATAATCCGTTTCTGTATTGAAAGAAAGATGAATGTGTCTCATAATGTATAGTCTAAATATTTGGTGTCGCCCCATCGCTCATATACTAAACATATTCTGTGAAAAACAGTGGACTAAGAGGACAATTGAATGGTTCTTGAATGAATGACTCAAAAACAATACATTATAATTCAGAAGTTTTATTAAAGAGCGGTAAAGTAGAAGTGATGATGCGTCACAACAACAGCTTGTAGTTTGTACAAGGCACAGTGCTCGTACAGAGCAGAGGACAGCAGTCTTTATAAAAGACACAGATCATCCAGGTCCAGAGCAATGTGGACCTCATCAACCAGTTCAGCACAAGAGACATTACAACAGGTCCCACTGACATGAGCTGTCACCAAAATGTGACTCAGTTACATAAAGCCTTCACAATGAAAGGAACAAATACAATATGTGAATAAGTTCACAGTGGATCATGTAGAGCTTTTGCCACAAAAAGACAAAAACATACAGGAGAAGTCTCCCTCTTAAAGGGACATTACACATTTAAAACAATGTGCAACATCATTGATTCTATTGAAATCAACAGAAACATCATTAGATTCATACAACATGTATGACATAGTACCTTTCGAATGAAAGTTCAATTATTCAAGAGGTTTCCACAGGAAATATATGATTGACAGTTCATGACCTCTGCTAACACAGAAGAAACTGTCTCCGATGAAGCACAACTTATATGTTGAAGAACATCTTGAATTCAAATAAATTCAGTCTCTTCTTATAAACATTTCCACAGGAATTGCAAAATGTTCTTCTCATTTAAACATCAGTCCCAGAGCTTTTCAGATGTAGACAAAGTGGGAGAATCTCAGACCAGTGTGGTCCATAGTGAGTCTGTCAGGGTGCAGACTCTACCAGGGCCTCCAGGGGGCGCCGTTCACTGGACTCTTGTCTTTACAGAAGCTGCTCTGCTTGTGCAGCTCAGTGCAGTGTCTCTGCTGAGGGCTCTTCATGAGGCTCTGGGACAGGAAGTGCTGCTGCCGCAGACGTGTGAGCACAGTGACGGTCATCTCCAGGATGTCTGCTTTCTCCAGCTTGGAGTCTGACTGCTGCTGGAGGAACTCTGTACACAGGAGAGACTTGAGCTGCTCAATGCTGCTGTTGATCCTCTCTCTGCGCAGTTTCTCCACCACAGGCTTTCTCAGCTGCAAAAACAAGAGGCACATGAGTTCATTTGTTCTACACACACCACTGCAATAGCAGCAGAGGAACCATCAAAGCGTCAGGAGAAGGATGGAACAGGCTTTACCTTGTGACAGAGGCTGAGGTCCTGAGAGGGGTCCATTGCTGCAGTGGCTGTAGGAGCCATGTGTGGATGTAGAGCTCTGTGTGGAGAGTCTGCCGTGTGCTGCTTCTGCCTTGTATTTATACACACATATCTCCATTTGAATGTGTGGGTCTAGGTCTAGCACTAGTTTCTCACACTCTGGACCAATCAGAGAGCAGCACAGACAATAAGAGCTGCAGCATGGCACATGCTCTAAAGCCCTGGGGTCAGCTCTCTAAGGAGCAGCTGGACACACGCCTCCCTCAGCTCATAGTTTGTAGACTCAAACAGGACGCCATAAGTATGACATGTACAGTCACTCACTCAAACACAATGTTTCGCATTCTGCTTCTTCATTCGCAGCACAAGTTTGGGCGTTGTGTAAAAATGAAGGAGAGAGAAGTGGGAAATGTCCCATGATTCCCGTGTGTTCAGGTCAGAGGTCTTCATCTATTGTCCCTCTGCGGCTGTGAGTGTGTCTTCTCTGGTTTCCCACACTTTGCTTTTCATTGCTTCAACAAAAGAAGTGTGCTGCATTAGGCAAATCATCTGGTGACCATTTGAAAAAACTCTCATTTTGATGCAAGCTAGCTCTTTGAAACCCACAAAAGTCACAGAACTTCTGTAAAATTCATTTGCTATAAATAACTTGGTTCAGTGGAAACATCTGTGTTGTGTCTTTTTGTTTTATGATATGAAGGATTACAGTTAAAGCAATGGTGACGAGCAACCTCATCATGGCCTCAAGCAGTGAGGTGAACCAGCTCCTGAAAATGACGTAGAGATTGAAATCTGGTGCCAGATGTGCGTCATGTGACGTGTCTTTAGTGCTGAGTAAAAGTGTCTTGGCGTTTCCCACAATCTTTGTGCTTTGTGTTCGTTGAACCATGAGGATCCTGAGGAACAGATGCTCCAAGTGTCGTCATGGAGACACACTTTGACGTCTTCAAGGACTTGGAGGGAAAGCTTCTGATTGGTTGGTGTGAAGAAGATGTCATAGTCTGGGATTGCGTCTTAAATTCCGACAGAAGACATGTTTTATTGTCGATGGTAGAGACAGCACGAACAAAGCACACGATCACAGATACAGGAGAATGCAAGTGTATTATACAGAGCGGAGGCATGGACACCTCCAATCAGCAGCTGCCACGGTGTGCTTGTAGCTTGGCCTTCAGATAGACAAAACAAGGGAAAAGTACTGGCTTCTGCACATTGATAGAATGATGAGTTTAACTTTAACAAAAGTTGCTTCAAAGTGTTATGAAATCTCATATTCCCCCCTCTGGTCACACATTCACGTGTGACCATCAGGATCGATAAACAGCAACATAACATCATAACTCAATACTTCAAAAACTCAAACTCGGTACTTCAAAAAACTCAGAACTCGGAATACTTCAAAAACTCATAAAACTCATAAAACATGTTCAGATCTTTCATAAAACTTGTCAACAATCTTCAGTAAAATACCAAACTTCATCAGTCGATGGTGGTTCCAGATATTGCTTTGAAAACAGTCTCTCCCACTTCTCCGTGTTGATTCCTCAGGCTGCATTTGTGTCGAGCCATGAATTCTTCTGTGACGTGTCTTTCAATCACACGTTTCAGCTTCAGTGTCCAGATTCAGCAATTCAATTCAGTCCAAATTATGTCCAAATTCAGAAATCCAGATTGTTCCAAATTATGTCCATGCAAAAGAGGACGATGGTGTTGTCCATGTCTCAGCAGCTCACAGCCTGACTGGAATCAGGGGCTGTGCAGATTGTCCATGTGCTGATCCAGATGCATTCTCTTGAGGTTTCTCAGTTTTGGCTTAAAAAAAAAACACTTTTTGTGTAAAAAAAAAAAAGTCTTCTGTTCTGTAGATGTTACAGACAAGGCCCGCATCCTTCCACCACCTGAAGAAGATGACATAGTCTGGGATCGCGTCTTAAATTCCGACAGAAGACATGTTTTATTGTCGATGGTAGAGACAGTACAAACAAAGCACACGATCACAGATACAAGAGAATGCAAGTGTATTATACAGAGCTGAGGCATGGAGACCTCCAATCAGCAGCTGCCACGGTGTGCTTGTAGCTTGGCCTTCAGATAGACAAAACAAGGGAAAAGTACTGGCTTCTGCATATTGATAGAATGATGAGTTTAACTTTAACAAAAGTTGCTTCAAAGTGTTATGAAATCTCATAGGTGTTTTGCTATTTCAATACTGTAGTCACAAATGTCACTTTTGGCATGAAGAGAAAAGTGTGCCAGAATTGTTCAAGACAAATCCCTCGACTTGAATAATGGGAGCCCACAAGGCACTTCACTTGGGCCTTTACTGTTTTGTATGAATGAAGCACGGCATTTGACATCTATTGTAGACCTTCTGGTTGGGTTAATATACTGTCAAAGATATAAACACACACCCTTTATGTAAAGCACAGACATTTGAAGGTCCTAAAGAACATAACGTGAGGTTTGACCATAATCCGTTTCTGTATTGAAAGAAAGATGAACGTGTCTCATAATGTATAGTCTAAATATTTGGTGTCGCCCCATCGC